AGCATGGCAGTCGAATTGCAGGTTTATACGGAAACGACAGAGAAAGAAGTAAACATCATGTCTTATCCAAAGACAGTGGTGAAGTAACAGCATTTGATATTAGTTTAAACACCCAGATGCGTTATCCAGTCGGGACCAATCTCAGCGGTTCCGTCGCAGCTCACACGCACGCCTATACGAAAGCATCCACACTGGATATCACGACGCTTCAGCAGCTTATGGAAGACGAGGCAAACAAAGAGGACGCTAGATCTTTCATTTCGGCTGATTCGTCTCGACCAGTTGAAAGTGAAAATTCGAGGCTTCATCTACCAAGTCTTGAAGAGCTGAGTAGAGATAACTCTATTTTTGAGTGCCCCTTTTGCCTCGGCCTCCAAACATTCACTAAGGAGTCAGCATGGCGACGTCATGCCTACAGAGACCTGAAAGCATATGTCTGTACTCTTGGCCAAGGGAAATGCGACTCTGAAATGTTCGGAGATAGCCGCACCTGGTTTGACCACGAACTCCAGTGCCATAGGAAACAATGGGTGTGTGTTATCTGCTCGAAGGGGCCATTCAGAACACCAGCAGATTTCAAGTCACACACGAAAAACAAGCATGCCAATGTCCTGGTCAATGATGGCCAACTAGAGAGCCTCATGGGTGCAAGTCAACGCGCTGTGGATGCAATCGCTGCCGACGAGTGTCCGTTTTGCAACGAATGGGAGACAATCTTGAAAAACAATACGCCTGTACCACAGTCTATGGACTCCTCAGGAGTCGTGATAACTGTGGAGCCAGTTCAATTTCGTCGTCATGTCGCAAGCCATATGGAACAACTCGCCTTATTTGCTATACCCAGGAATATGGGCGACGACGAATCGGACGAAGATACCAACAAGGTGGCTGCGTTGAGCCGATCTACAGTCAATGCGGAACCACGGTCGCCCATGTTTGAAATCTCAAATACTAATGAGGGATGGATTCCAGATCCGCCGCTGCACATTGCAGCCGCTTCTGGGGACTTGGTTACGTTTCGAGTTTTGCTTGAAGAGGGGGCTGATATCCATTTGCGTGGAGAAACTTGGGGGACGGTGTTGGATGCTGCTTGTTCTTGTCAACAATCTACGCGCGATGATATTTTGAGTCTCCTAAGAAGTCACTGCGAAGGCCGGTTATTTCCAGATACGCTGCTAAACACTGAAATTCACGACGATCAACTGATTGCTTCTTCACGGCCATCTTACGTGGATGTTACGACTAGGTCTCAGAGCATAACAGATGACCCTCATCCAGACGTGTCGATTTTCACCGAAGTCGAGGAACCAAAGAAACCCAAGAGGACCAGACAACGCGCAGTGTCTCAAGTGGGATGGCAGGAAATTTCCCACACGACGCCTGTTTCTGAGACGATGTCTAGCACGACGAGAACGCCACGAAGATTTTCCGAGTCAGCAGATGCAGGTTACTCAACAGTAGTTAGTCAGGATACGTTTAGAAGCCACAAATCTAAAAACTAGATGGCTGGTTCACGGATAGAACGGGAATCACATGGAGGACGTCCAGTTGTCTGCAACGACAATGCCAGAGGTTTCGAAAAGGATGCACCAACCCCAGATTAGTAAGTGTACTGCCGGAGAATAATGTTTCTTAGAGATTTTACATGCCAAACCCGTTCTAGCTCGTATTTAGTGGAGCTTCGTCGTCGAAGTATAAGATGAATCTGAAGGTTTTCTATTATGACAGGTTTAATGTTGTCCCACAAGGTTTCCTTTCACTCTACAACTTGTTGTAGTCGGTCTAAGGTGTTATTAACTTACAACCACCTTCCCATGATAGCTCTTTTTAGGTGTATCCTGTTGTCAATATGTGCTTTGGATATCATAATAACACACTGGACACTACTTGCCTAAAGGCTAATGATGTCATTAGGAGAAGAGGACAATTCAATTGGAGGGGTTGGCGGGGCTTGGAGGGGTCAAAATATCACATAGAGGGGCACGAGCAACTGAAAATCTTCCATATGACCGGGCCAGTAACTGGGCGACAGCGCTGGCGTGTTACCTGGGTCTACTATTGGACATTGCCTAGCCACTAAGTAGAATACCTACCTAGGGCTTCTTTTTCTCTCGGCTGGCTGGCTGGCTGGCTGGTAGCAACATCATCAGTCCCTCCACGTGCCCCACTCCACCATCAAAGTGTTCCGCGTCGCGCTGCATCTCCGTGGCCGGCTAGTTCTTGGAACCGTTCGTCATTTCTTCTGCGGCTTTTCTTTGGCCGTTTGCAGTCACAAATCGCAGGTCTATCACGGTCAGTCAGCAGCAGTAAACCATTCGACCGCTATGGCCTCATTCATTCTCGGCTCCCAATGGGGTGAGTGTCCTCCTTCTACTGCAGTCCAACCTAATCTTCGCTCTCAATGTTGGCGTACATGGGGTCTATGCATGGAGGGGCAGTGAGCTGATAGGGCTACTGACGCTGGCATGTCCCTTGTAAACTGGATCTGGACTGGAAATAACTGAATTCGTGTACAGGAGACGAAGGCGTACGTTGACGCTACGCCCAGTTTAGCCCCGACTTTCTGTGAGGTATGATATTGACTGTTTGTTATACAGAAGGGCAAATTGACAGACAATCTTCTGGCAACCAACTCATTCGACATCTGCGCACGTGCAGCAGGTGGTCACAATGCCGGCCATTCGATCCAGTACGGGCAATGCGATATCATCAACATGTTTTGACAGATCTCCGCTGACCAAGGTTCCCTTTATAGCACGGGCACCCAGAAATTCTCCTTCCATCTCTTACCGTCTGGCTTGGTCAGCGCGAACACTGACAATCTGATTGGATCGGGTGTTGTTTTCAATGTCGATGCCTTCTTTGGAGAGCTGGCCGATCTTGATGCCAAGGGTGTGCCAAACGTTCACAAGCGCATCCACGTCAGCTCGCGGTGTCACTTGAATCTTACCTTGCACGCCGCTATCGATGGACTTTCCGAGCAGGCGCTCGGAAAGAGTCAGATCGGAACCACCAAGCGAGGCATCGGCCCGTCCTACAGCACGAAAGCTGCCAGAGACGGCCTGAGGATTGATGACATCTACCATGATGATTTCGCAGATAAACTACGCGTCATGGCAGAGGGCTATCGTGCGCGTTATGGCGATCTTCTCAAGTACAATGTTGAGGAAGAGATCCAGAAGTTTGTAGGCATAAGGGAAAAGCTACGACCATATATCGTTGATGCTGTAGAGTACATGAAGGTCGCACAAGAAAAAAAGCGCTCGATTCTCATCGAGGGTTCCCAGGCTTTGAGTATGTCAAAGTCTACCTACCAAAGACATTTGACTGACTGGTTGTAGTGCTTGATCTCGACTACGGCAGCTACCCTTTTGTAACATCCTCGAATTGCTCAGTTGGCGGCTGCATCCAGGGCCTGGCAATCAGCCCCTTTAATATCAAGTAAGCTCAATTCTTCCTCTCACAATAGCTCCAACGAAGCAGACATTATTCCTAAAATCTTGTCCACATCTTCGACTTCATGAAGCTTACTTAGACCTCATAGGGACATCATTGGCGTTGTCAAGGCATACGTAAGTTCGATGAGGAGATGTTCAGCCTGAATCGTGCTAAGCTAGTGGACTGGGTAGACAACCCGAGTTGGTGGCGGTCCTTTCCCAACGGAAGAACACGGAGATGTCGGCACGAAACTACAGGATATCGGCGGAGAGATTGTATGATGTCCCTGAATACCCTTTCTATGATTCTGTAGGCCGAGACTAAAACTTCGCAGGGTGTCTCTACTGGTAGAAGGAGGAGATGCGGCTGGCTCGACCTTGTGGTTCTCAAATACTCCGCTGCCGTGAATTGTAAGTGGTCTTTACTTGTGCCTTATCATTAAACATCTAATACTAACGCACCTCTTGTAGACTATACCACCCTCAACTTAACTAAGCGTAAGAGCACTTAGATCATACCTTACAGTTTGACGTGACGGCTTGCTAAGATATTTAGTTGATGTGCTCGATACCTTCCCAACCATTCGAGTCGCTGTGGCATATATCACTCCCGATGGAAAAAGGATCACTAGCTTCCCTTCTGACTTGAACTTCGTAAGTATCAATACCTGTATTCAGTTCTCTGAAATCTCATATATTCTCTAGCTCGCAAAGTGTACGCCTGAGTACATTGACTTCGAAGGCTGGCAGAGTTCCACGCAAGGACTGCGGAAATGGTCCGATTTACCACCACAAGCCCAGAAATACATCGAGCTTATCGAGTCAGAGCTTAGCATCAAGGTACATTCGCAGTTTTCCATTCATTTGAAAATTACTAACATACATAGGTGGGTTATATCGGCACTGGAAAAGACCGCGAGGACATGATTATCCGGTAAAGGTCAGTATTACCTACCAACTTGGACTGGGCTTAGAGGAATGGGCAAAGGAGTTCAGAGGATAGGAGTGATGGTTAAAGACATGGTTCATGGAGCTTGCGCCCGCCTACTGCCATAATTTTCGAGTCATAGTGCTAGGACATTGTCCGCCACTCGACCAGTGTAACTGAGCTACTGACTGATAACATGATTCCTTGTTTCTATCAACCCGAACATAGGCTTAGCCAAGAACCAAAAAGCATAACATGGCAATATAAAGAAAGATTTTGGGAATAAGTGCTACTACATGCGTTTTCAATCGAAGACCTACTTGTGCTATACAGATGGCAATTGAAACTTCCTATCTCACGTGTGTGGTATTTCATGATGAATATACCAACGCATGAATGTTTGCTCATACGCTATATTTGCCTCCTACAATCGGAGGCATGAACCAGAGCTTATACGCCTGCCTGTCTTTCATTAGCCATGCCAGTAAATAACTTAAGTAGTGTGTCCTTAGCCGTTGTTTTCGGGTCTAATAAGGGGATTGCTTCCCGTGTGTATACCGTAAAAAGTTTTTTTATGAGGCAAGAGAAGATAATGGATATGCCATGCGTATGCTACGACAGACAAAAGAGAATGACTCTCGATCGGGGAATCGAACCCCGGCCACCTGCGGCTTGCTGTCATGATTGCTAAGTCCCACTATCGTGGAATCTAGATCATTGGAGTGACAATGACAAGCAGGTATCCTGACCACTAGACCAATCGAGATTGAGTTAGACATGGCTATAATGGGGGCTAGTTACATGAAAACCAGGACCCGTGAGTTAGTATGGCCAAACCAATTAAGGATCTAAAAACTGAACAACAGATGATACAAATAAATTTCGGCCGACAGCAGCTCATTTTGCCTACCAATAACAAAAGCCTTTATTCATTATCTATTGTACACTCTAATGGTAAATAGTTGCTTTTTGTGTTAACATAAAGGGCCTCTTTGTCTAACACTAATAAACACAGAGAATTGTTTAAGGATTAGGATCTATAAAATAAAAACTGAAATGGGTGCTTGATGTCACGATCTAAGCCAAAGATTGCATTGCTTTTATAAGTTAATTACTAACATTCAACCAGGGTTAGAATAAAAACCCACGGCTTAAAAAAGGTGCTGCAAGTTTGAAATAACTAAGGTCACTTTCACTACACCCAGAGAAATAGAGTTGAGCAGAGAAACATACCATCATGTGCAGGGGTTCAAAAGCAGAGATGCTCTGCGGTCACGTAGAAACCTACTTCAGCTCGCCTTGCGGGAGGAAGTGTTCCAGCCCTCAAGGGGTTACTAAACAGCTTGACAAGCCATGCACGCGTTGCGACCCTGAAAATAGAAAGGAGAAACGAAAGGCGCGCACGGCCGAGCTGATGTCGCAACTTCGACATGGGGAGAACGAAGATGAGGTGCAGAGCCTCACTGAAAGGGCGAATCAGTTAAATCTAAATATGCAAAGAAATATTGCCGAAACGCGGCGAATGATGTACGGAGCTGCGAACGCCTCCTCAACCCCTTCATCCCCTAATACGGGGAATCAAAGCTTCACTGCTGGACGCTCATGGGGCGTTAGGCCTGCTAGTCGGAGTGGAATTCGGAGTGGAAAAGCCCCTTGGGATTCCGGCTCAGACTCGGAGTCTGACAAGGGACGACGCGATACGAGCTATCTTACAGGAGACGGGAAACACGTCGTGCAAAAGGAGTATAAGCTGATCAACGGCCATTTCGCCCTGATCGCCTACCGCAAGGAGTTGAGCGAGGTCGACCCCCATTTGCTCCGTAAGCTACGGGAGAAGCGGGAAAAGGAGCTAGCGAAGCTTGAGGCGAGACAGAGAAAGAGAGAGGGGAAGAGACGGGCAAGGAACGGTGAGTGCAACAACGATATCGGAAAGACCAAGAGTGATTCAAAGACACATCACGAGACGATCATGAACGAGGAGAAAAAGGCCATGGAAAAGTGGCGGAGCGTATGCCGAAGCTCGGAGCCCAATTCGCCGAGACACTCGCCCAAGGGTAAGAGCTCACGCGCGACCACCGCCGGGGAGCAACAAGCGGAGAAGAAAAGCCGCCGAGAATCCAAAGTAAGTATCCACGAAGAGCGGCACGGGACGCGCAAGCCTCCGCAAACCGAGGCCCGGAAGACACACAAGCACAAGTCGCCAACCTCACGCTACCGGTCGAATTCATTCAGGGCGCGAGCAGAGCAAGATGGGTTTCGCCCGACTTCGCAATGGGGGTTCGGCGACGACGGATACGAACAAGAACCTGCGCAAGCCGAGAGCTCACGGGGCTCGGCAGAACGTCAAGGTCTTAGGAGGGTCGAGAGGCGTACCTGGGTTGAAAGGTTTGCCGAGGATATCACGTATGATTCTAATTCTAGTAGTGATTCTGACAGTGTCGTCACCGTGCTCAGGGTCCCCGTACATCAACCCGGGACGAAGAGTGGTAAGTCTACGGGTGACGGTAAGAGCCGACGCCAGAACCGCATGGTTGAGGATGAAGAGTGTCTTGACGTGTGGCACAAGATTGCTGATGAAGAGTGATGGATGAAGGTAAGACTCTGTTGTACAACTTAAGCACCTCTTACGCCAGTTCCCGGCAAACGGCAGATTAGATTACAGGATAGTAAACCTCGAGGCTTCCCTCACCTAGTAAGAAACAAGTATAATTTCGATACTAACATAAAATACATTCTCCTTATTGTCTTATGTATGCCCGTAATCTTTCAACCCTTCTATGACTTCCCACGCAAGTTGAATCCATCTGGAAACTCCACCCGCCCCAATTTCTGAGCTATGTCCGTCGAGTCCACCGCAGCCTCCGGCCCGTTGACTTCACCTTTATCGGTTCTGAAATCCAGGATATCCTTTTTCGCCTTGTTGTACTCCTTGATCCGTGCTGTGGCTAGTCTTCCCGGTCTTCGGCGGTCCGTCGGACACCGTAGGAGAGGCACCTGTATGATGGCAGCAAAGACGTCGAATACCTTGTCTACCGGCACGTTATGTCTCTTCGCGACTTCTTCGAAGGGGAACTTCTCTTGGCATGTCTCGGCTACGTCAACAATCAAGTTGGGCGAGGGTTTGCGGTATGTGGGTTGAATAAGAGAGGCGGGTGGTTTTATGGGACTCGAAGTCGCACTGGTGTTAGAGGCTGTATTCTTCAGCTGACTTATCTGAGGTGATTCTGTTTTTCTAGATTGTTCAGACGTGGTCTGTTTGTCTGTCTCGGCTCCCTCTTGTTGCTGGGGAGTTGATTGTTGTGGTGAAGGCTGCGGTGGCGGGCGAGACGATAGAGGCACGAAGGAGTTTCCGTTGACCGGTATCATCACTGGTGCGAAGTTCGTGCCATATTGGTGTACATTGCTTGTAGGTATAGTCAACATTTGGGGGTGTATATGTTGACCATAGGACGTGTGGTAGTGTAGTTGTGGCATGAGGTGAGGAGGCAGGGCTGCATTTACCATGGGTAAGCCCTGTGCTCGTGAAAGTTGGGCCTGATATCTAAGTCGAGAACAAACCTGGCATGGGTGTTTCTGCGAGTGAGCGGAGCTGTTATGGTGATGATGATTATTTAATAGTCTCGGGCTACTCCCCGAAGGTGCACCATGGGAAACTTCAGGATGGGGCACAGTAAGGGGAGACGGAGGAGGGGGCATTGGAGTGCTCTTCGAATCCGCCCTTTTACCACGATCAGAGAAAGTTGGGGTATCACGATTGTTTGAACTGCTAGGTGCCATCAGAACAGGAGTCTGATGAGTATCAAGTGTAGTCTTCGCAAGCTGCGATGTCATTGGTGGCTTCTCAATTTGGCAGGATGTTGTATGTCTAGAGCTTTGGCAGACTATTTGGTCGTTTGACGGCTTCACAACCCCAAATGCCCCAGGTGCACATTGGCCACTTTGTATATTAAGCATTTCTGGAGAGACTGTTGATGGGAGTTGTTTCGGTGAGAGTTCGGGAGGACTCGATGGCCGAGGCTTACGGAAGGGTTGGTCAAGAACGAAGTTCTCCAGGACCGGCATGGACACTCCCCTCAACGCATATGTGAGTTCAATTGCCTGTATGTCGGATGGTAGACCGACCATTCCTGTGCTCAGTCGTCTTTCTGTATCCCTCGGGTCGCTGCTAGGCATTTGCGTGGCTGTTGTAGAAATATTGGGAACAATATTCGCAGCAGAAGCAGCAGCAGCAACACCAGCATCTGTAGCAAGAAGATTCATTGGTTGTTGAGGCATAGGTACTGCTGGCTGCTTCTCACTGATCCTGCGCCTCTTCACAGGTTTCTCTGAGATGAACTGGATATCATCGTCATCTTCAACCCGTCGTTTCGATGGAGCTATAGCAGTGGTAAGTGGACACAATGGACTTGGCGGGACTGAGCCTGGGGCCTGAGGACTGAAGTATGTTGGCATCATATTGAAAAAATTGTATTGAGAACAGTCACACAATAGTCGATATGACGGGTTGGGTATGATCAACACTTCTCGAGCGTAGGAAGCAGAGAATGTGCCCAGGCTATTTGTATTAGCATATGAGGTCCTTCTAGCAGCGAGCTAAGACATGAAAAGCTCGAGATCCCAAGACAACATAGCATTCGTCTCTATGTAGGGTAGTCTTGTCTCTTTCACATATATGCGGGCCATTTTAGCCCATAAAGCAAGAGCAAAGGCAAACTGTCACGTAGATCAAGGAGACTTTGCTATTTGCTGCGCAGAGGAACAACATGAGCCCTTAACAAGGCTAACCCGGCACTGATGCACGGGATGGCACCACCATCGCGGATGTTCTTGTTCCAGGATGAACATGCTTAGGGAACAGAGAAAATGACATTTGGGATGGTCAACAAGAGGAAGAGTCCAAGCACTTGTACACTGTTTTCAGGTAGCTGTTTATGGAACAGAAGCCCAAAATATCACCTGAGGAGCCGTGGCAGTGCCTACGGGTGTGAGACACCAAGCATGTGAAGTTCGGAACAGTGAAGGTATTTGTCTGCCGGAGATGCATCCAAGAGAGAAAGACGCACATGGCAATACATAGTGCCTAGAGTTATAAAACAGGAGAGCTGTGCCTGCAGGCATTAGGTACTTACGTAGGTACCTATCTAGGTACCTACCTAGGTATTTAGGTAGGCCAGGTACCTACCTAATAAGCACACCAAGGTACCTTCTAAGTACATACTCCAGCAGTGCTACCGCGGGGCATTGCCTTAATTGCCCCACCAATCTAACAGTAAGGTACGACGGCTCCAAGCGCCGCAGCCCGTGAACTAACAGACACTTAAGGTAGTAGACCATCCCTCAAGTGCCTACCATATTGATTCAACAATCTAAGAACAAACAGTGCTTGGGTTCAGCTTTACGAGTTCTTTGCTTCTGGCTTGTGTCCCACTTCGGCTCTGTATCGCGTATTATCCATCAGCAAGCATGGAGACCGCTCCAGGAAATCCGCTTCTATCAACCCAGAAGTCCTCCGACTCTGGGCTGCAAGCAGTTCTGCATCCTCTCGTCCTCCTCACCATCTCCGATTACATCACGCGCCACACCCTCAGAGAACAGTCCGGCCCCATTGTTGGTGCACTGATAGGGCAGCAGAATGGCCGCGAAGTCACAATAGAGCATGCCTTTGAGTGCGCCACTCTAGCCAAGGATGGCGAGGTTGTCCTCGATGCCGACTGGTTTGAGCAACGGCTGGGCCAGAGTGTGTGCTCCTAGGTCCCGCTTAGAGAG